AGCCACCATTTAGCCAACAAGGGCAGTCAATCAAGCACTGCATAAGATGAATGAAGTCAGAAAAATGGCTTTGAGGCTGAAATACTATAGAAACATTCTCAGATTATCTTGGACACAGAAGAAAATAAATACTGACATACTAAAAGATCTGAACATCAAGGAAGATTGGCTAATAAACAGCATCTTGTCTCAAAAATTAAACTACTCTGCCCATATCAAGTGCCATGACGAAAAAAAATTAGGAAGGCGTGATACCAGGAAAGAGAGGCAGGAGCTGACTAGCACAAAGTTGGGCACAGGATATAAGTGACACCTTGGGTAGGAAAGTACATTGACACCTTGGGTAGGAAAGTACACTGACACCAAGGGTAGGAAAGTACACTGACACCTTGGGTAGGAAAGTACACTGACACCTTGGGTAGGAAAGTACACTGACACCTTGGGTAGGAAAGTACACTGACACCTTGGGTAGGAAAGTACACTGACACCTTGGGTAGGAAAGTACACTGACACCTTGGGTAGGAAAGTACACTGACACCTTGGGTAGGAAAGTACACTGGCACCTTGGGTAGGAAAGTACATTGACACCTTGGGTAGGAAAGTACACTGACACCTTGGGTAGGAAAGTACACTGGCACCTTGGGTAGGAAAGTACATTGACACCTTGGGTAGGAAAGTACACTGACACCTTGGGTAGGAAAGTACACTGACACCTTGGGTAGGAAAGTACACTGACACCAAGGGTAGGAAAGTACATTGACACCTTGGGTAGGAAAGTACATTGACACCTTGGGTAGGAAAGTACACTGACACCTTGGGTAGGAAAGTACATTGACACCTTGGGTAGGAAAGTACACTGACACCTTGGGTAGGAAAGTACACTGACACCTTGGGTAGGAAAGTACACTGACACCTTGGGTAGGAAAGTACACTGACACCAAGGGTAGGAAAGTACACTGACACCTTGGGTAGGAAAGTACATTGACACCTTGGGTAGGAAAGTACATTGACACCTTGGGTAGGAAAGTACACTGACACCTTGGGTAGGAAAGTACATTGACACCTTGGGTAGGAAAGTACATTGACACCTTGGGTAGGAAAGTACACTGACACCTTGGGTAGGAAAGTACACTCTCACCTTGGGTAGGAAAGTACATTGACACCTTGGGTAGGAAAGTACACTGACACCTTGGGTAGGAAAGTACATTGACACCTTGGGTAGGAAAGTACACTGACACCTTGGGTAGGAAAGTACATTGACACCTTGGGTAGGAAAGTACACTGACACCTTGGGTAGGAAAGTACATTGACACCTTGGGTAGGAAAGTACATTGACACCTTGGGTAGGAAAGTACACTGACACCTTGGGTAGGAAAGTACACTGACACCTTGGGTAGGAAAGTACATTGACACCAAGGGTAGGAAAGTACATTGACACCTTGGGTAGGAAAGTACACTGACACCTTGGGTAGGAAAGTACATTGACACCAAGGGTAGGAAAGTACACTGTCACCTTGGGTAGGAAAGTACATTGACATCAAGGGTAGGAAAGTACACTGTCACCTTGGGTAGGAAAGTACATTGACACCTTGGGTAGGAAAGTACACTGACACCTTGGGTAGGAAAGTACACTGACACCTTGGGTAGGAAAGTACACTGACACCTAGGGTAGGAAAGTACACTGACACCTTGGGTAGGAAAGTACATTGACACCTTGGGTAGGAAAGTACATTGACACCTTGGGTAGGAAAGTACACATGGTGGGAAAGCTGGCGGTATAAAAATTTTTTCTTTCAGGCAGACCATTATAAGAGTGACGTTCCACAAAGGATCCGCTACAAGATGAACAGAAAAACATTTAGTTGAGTATCTTTTATTGTTTCTTGTCATAAAACGGTATATTCTTTGTTTCCACAGACTGCAGACAAGTAATTTATAATCATATTATTTCAATAACATCAACAGCGGAAAAAAATTCATAATAACATTTGAGAAATGTGGTACAGGCAAGTAGAACCCGTTATAATATGTAATAGTAATATACATGGTTAAATGCTACATCATAATCTGAATATGAAAAGTCAGCAAAATTGGAAACATCCTCATCAATATCATCCTATTTGTATTATTCATCTCTATTTCTTTTAGCCTGCTGGTCCCCTAAAAAGGCCTTTCTAGTCAACCGATACTCGATGGGTCAAGGTGGTGGATGACTCAAGACAGTGGACAGCTCAAGACAGTAGATGGCTAGCACAGTGGGTGGCTAGGACAGTGGGTGGCTAGCACAGTGGGTGGCTAGCACAGTGGGTGGCTAGGACAGTGGGTGGCTAGGACAGTAGAAGGCTAATACAGTAGATGGCTAAGACAGTAAATGGCTAAAACAGTGGATGGCTAAGACAATGGATGGCTAAAATAGTGGATGGCTAAAATAGTGGATGGCTAAGATAGTGGATGGTTAAGATAGTGGATGGCTAAGATAGTGGATGACTTAGACAGTGGATGGCTTACACAATGGATGGCTAAGACAGTAGATGGCTAAGACAGTGGATGGCTAAGACAGTGGATGGCTAAGATAGTGGATGGCTAAGATAGTGGATGGCTAAGATAGTGGATGGCTAAGATAGTGGATGGCTAAGACAGTGGATGGCTAAGACAGTGGATGGCTAAGATAGTGGATGGCTAAGATAGTGGATGGCTAGGATAGTGGATGGCTAAAGCAGTGGATGGCTTAGACAGTGGATGGGTTAGACAGTGGATGGCTAAGACAGTGGATGCACCAAGCACTCAACTTTGTAGTTCAGGCGGTGAAACCGTAGATAACCATACAAATATGGAAACTGCATTAGCAAAGCCACATAGGAAGCAAAAATAACTTCAAAGCTGAAAATTCTGCTATGCCTTATCCTCCATTTTAGACTGGCTAAGACAACAGATGGCTAAGAAAGTGGATGGCTAAGACAGTGCAGTTCACTAGGCAGTTTTTTTACGTTCATTAGCAAACTTTTTTTTTTTTAAATGGTCAGCTCTTGACACCACTTTTGAAACCAATGCATTGCGGTCTACTGCTAAATCACCCGCAGCTTGGATCAAACCTTGCTTTGTGGAATTATGAAGCGTGTTTGCAATGCCTAAGTTACAAACACCAACTCAGAATTCATACTTTTTAAGAAAACATGTGAGAATGTATTTCATATTTACTCCCAACAGTCATTCAAAAGATGTGGTTTCTGAGACGAATGTTACAAATACCTCAGATGGCCAGGGTAACTAACAATGATCCCTTGAAAGAAGCCAATAAAAGTAGATCTATATATACAACAATAAGAAAGAGACAAACACTGTTCTTTGGCCACATAATGAGAAAAGAGACATCGGAGAACATCGAGACAACTGGTAAGATCAGTGGAAAAAGGGGGTAGAGGCAGACCAAGAGAGATGATGTTGGATGGGCTGAAATGATGGCATGGAGGGCTATCATCAAAAAAGCTGTTCCAGGCAACCAGGGATCGTGATCTGTGGAGACACATGAGCACCTACGCCAGTTGGCAGGGCACATGATGATGCTGATGATTCAAAGACAAAGACATCAAATGGAATTTCACATCTTTGTAACAATCTGGAAATTATACTTTAAATGAAGAACAAAAACGAATACAGATTAGGTAACTCAAATATGCTATTGCTGAAAGATGAACCACAAAACTTGCACCTTTTACCAAACATAATGACAGCATTTAACCATCTAACAAGAAGGGACCAGGCCACCATCTTCAGACTTAGAACACAACATACTCCACTCAATGGACATCTAAACATAATACAGCCACAACACTCCCTAGAGTGCCAGCTATGTAACTACCCCTACGAAAGTGTTGAACACCATCTCTTTGAGTGCCCACAACTCAGCGAGACTAGAAGAATGCTAACTCCCTACGAGACCAGACAAGTGGAACACCTTGTATGGAAGAAAAGAACAGCTTGTGAAAACATGCAAATTCCACTACATGGCATTGGGCCAGAGGGCATAAGCTCATGCGCCGCTGGATCGATAACAACAACAACAACAACCATACATAAACTATTGTTAGTCGAGATTCCAAATTCACTGTAGACGGGTCACTGTTCAGTTTCTGTGCTCGTGGAAATCACACAAAATGACCTTCACAGTCCAGTTCGAAAACTAATGAAAAAAAAATGTCAGTCCCAGCAATGTCTTGAAGCTCGCGCACGCAAAGTAAATGTGTAAGGCAGCTGTCAGATGTGCCAACACTAACAGACCCACACTAGAATTGCAGCTCATTGCTCATGCAAGCGGTCATTTACGACAGTCGGAATTGTACATGCAATACTGCACATTCACATATGCTATAATAACATCAAAACATAAACTGAAAAATATTTATAATACCACGAAGATCACCATAAGGTGCCTTGCCGACTAGCGTGGGCGATCATGTCTCTCCACAATCCGCGATCTCCTGCAGCATGTATCAGTTTGTGTGCTGACACACCCACATGTTATGCAACAAGACTGTCAAGAATCTTCTCACGTTGTCTTCCTCTATCCCTCCTTCCACAGATCTTTCCAGTGGTCAAAACATGTTCCATTTTTCCTCTTCTCATAACATGCCCGAAAAATGATGACTGTCTCCTTCTGATGTATGTTATAAGTTGACTTCGGACTCCCGCCTCTTTCAAAACCACAATGATAGCAAAACATAAATATCTCATCTCTGGAACAGCCTCTATTGACCACTCAGTGGTGTTGGATGGGAAGGGGAGGGTGGGGTGTGAGCCTGACGATTCAAGGCCACATGGTTAGTGTGCCACGCCCTGTGAAGGATACGATTATTATTCTCTTTTTGTCGGACACTTCACACGTTATACTTTTCAACAAACAAACAAACAAACAAACAAAAAGAATGTGTAATGTGCATATGGCCATTTTGAAAGATAAACCATGAAACAATAAATCTATATTCACATAAACTACAACTGCATCACAAAATTCTTCCGAAAAATACCCCGAGAGTGATAAACAAAATAAGCAGCAAAATCTCTTCTTTGTAACACATCTCGGACATTTTAACGTCATTGTACTTGATAAACTTGTAGAACTCATAGCTCGGGATGAGGATGTGGAAGACGTCCGGAATCATGAGGCCGATGTTTCTGGCGTTCTGGAATCCGGTGCCTCGACCTTGAAGGACGTGGGCAATGAACTGGTCAGAGCCGGAGACAATAATGTGGACTAAATTTATGGACAGGACCATCATCATCTTCCATGCTTTTATCTGTGAAATATAAACATTACATTACACATAGGGGATATAAATATTAGATTAAGCCAAGGAGAAATATAAACATTACATTATACATAGAGAATATAACTATTAGATTAGGCCAAGGAGAAATATAAACATTACATTACACATAGGAGATATAAATATTAGATTAGGCAAAGGAGAAATATAGACTTTACATTACACATAGGGAATATAAATATTAGATTAGGCAAAGGAAAAATATAGACTTTACATTACACATAGGGAATATAAATATTAGATTAGGCAAAGGAGAAATATAAACACTACATTACACAGAGGGGATATAAATTTTAGATTAGGCAAAGGCGAAATATAAACATTACATTACACAGATGGAATATAAATATTAGATTAGGCAAAGGAGAAATATAAACATTAAATTACACAGAGGGAATATAATATAGTGGTATACATATCAGGATGTGGAGGGCTCGGGCATATCTCAAAATATGTGCTGATAAGAAACACCCACTGCATCAAGCGCTTTTTAGTGAAAAGGGCGACAGACTGAAGAGGGGGAAATCGTGGCTAGGTCGGGCAGAAGATGTTATTAGGCAAATATGCAGCCTAACCGACATCATACCTGGTGCAGAATGGATACCTGTGCCTCAGGCGTTTATTTGTACATTTTCCTGTATTGTCACACTCAACAGGCGATGTAGAGAAGAGAATCCTGTTGCTGTTAATGCAGAGGTCAACGCTCTCATCAGTGAAAATTCAGACGAAGCAGATGCAATAATCTATACAGACGGATCCGTTATACGCCAAAGAAGAAGCGCATGGGCATTTACAGCACGCTCAGCGGGCAGAACAGTCAAGGAAGCCAACGGCGCCTTCTCCATGACAACCAGCAGCATGACGATGGAGGTGATGGCAGTGACGCAAGCGCTTGCCTGGCTTGAAACACAAAAATACACCCGCGTGTGTATACTCAGTGATTCAATGAGTATGATCCGGATGGTTCAGGCAGGTTCAGTGCGAAGACAATGGCTTGAATCATTACAGAAGTCCACTGTGCGTGGAGTCACCTTTATTTTTGTTCCGGGACACGCAGGCATCGATGGAAATGAAAGAGCTGACAGGTTGGCTGGATCCGCTATCACTGCCGATGGTCAGCCTATGGATCATGTTGATATTATCAATGCCCTCAGAGAAATGGGAAGGATAGAGGACTTTGGTGGCAGTGAATCCACATCACTCGCCAGAATGGCAGACTTGGGAATTAAGATCGGCACAGCAAAAAACGAGACGCACACCAGACACGCCAGAAGACTTGTTAATCAACATAGAACTGGTACTATTAGCCATCGGACGTTGGGGTTCATACTGAGGGGAGGATCTGAGCACCTATGGACATGTCCGGAGTGCAATGAGGATAACCCAACTAACTAACTAACTAACTAACTAACTAACTAACACAGAGGGAATATCAATATTAGATTAGGCAAACAAGAAATATATACTGAACATGGGGAATATAACCATTACATTACACATAGGGAATACAAACATACACCGGGCACAGGAATTTTAAACAAACATTCATGATCATGTAGCAGGTCCTCATCACGGTCTGCCTGAATGAAACTCTGTCTCTCGCCAGTTCTTTGACTTTCATATCCAAGGAGTCACTTATATCCTGTGCCCATCTTCGTGTTGCCCATCGTTCCTGGTACCATGCCTTCTGCTATTATTTTTTTCCAATCCACCACAGCGCTTGATATGACCATAATACTTCAGTTTTCGAGACAAGATGCCAATCTTCATTGATGTTTAGATCTTTTAAAATGTCTATTTCCTCTCTTTGTTCTCCATGATATTCTGAGAATTTGTCTACAGCATTTCATCTCAAAAGCCAATAGTTTCTTTCTGAAGGACTGGGAGATAGTCTATGACTCACATCTGTATGTTGGTACAGGAATAAAGCATGCTCTCAACATTTTAATTTTGATTTCCTTGCTGGTGCTTAACTTTTAATGCTTTTTAATGCTGTTTAACTAAACACACATTAGGCAAAGGAAATATAAACTAGGGCTGTACCGAATAGTGATTTTCACTATTCGGCCAAATACGAATAGCTGGACCAACTATTCGGCCGAATACGAATAGTGAATCATCATCATCATGTGCTTTGCCGGCTGGCATGGGCGATTATGCCTCGCCACAATCTGCGATCTCCTGCAGCACGTATTAGTTCGTGTGCTGACACACCTCCATGAAAAACCTTTGTTCCATGTTGTCAGCATTAGGCCAGCTTTTTGTCTCACTGAAGGTATTTCCAGCTGTACTAAACAGGAAAATACGACAAACACAGAGAGTCAAAATGAAAACCCGCAAGGCGAAACATCAAAAACAAAAATAACGTCGAAGAAGAAAACAATGCCGTCCTTACAAGTCGCCCAGCCCCCCGCGAGCTCACGAAACCAGACGCCGGGAGGCCAACACCGTAAGATCAAACAACAAAGACAATCAAGAAACCGAACGTCGATCAAAACATTCAGCCGCTGCCGTTTCCACGAGACGACGAAAGAACAGATACGACACCCATAAATGATGACGAACTCCCGTTACTTCAAAGAATTAACGAAGAGGACACGAGGAGATAACGCTTCACAGTATAAACCAAGGTGGGAAGTCTTGATGTTTTTTTTCCACCAGTCCAGAAACGGTTGTGAGGTAACCACTATTCGTATTCGGCCCGACCGCAACTATTCGGCCGAATACCGAATAGTTATTGGGTCCACTATTCGGCCCCGAAGCGAATATTCGATACAGCCCTAATATAAACATTACATTACACATAGTTAATATAAACATTACATTTCACACATAGAAAACAGACACATTACATCAGACAAAGCAAAAATATAAATATCAAATTACTCATAGCAAATAAAAACATAATATTACACATAGGGAATTGCAATAGCAAAGGACTGGATCACTTGGAAGTGGCTGGCTGAGGGCCTCTGCTCCACTGAGGGATAAAGGCAGAAGAAGAAGTCAGGAAATAAAAATATACATAAGGGAAAGGGAAAACTATACAACTATAAGCATTACATTACATATAGGGAATAACATTACATTACATGTTTTATTGTCTCCATCAGGCAAAAGGCTGCTTTTGCTAGGGTGATTTTTGTTCTAATGTCTTGAAATTACAAGGTCCGACAATTAAGTAATGAGGCTGATTTTATTATGGCCAAGACAAAAATGCCATCTATGAATCACAGCATGGAATCCAAAGAGGCAAACTTTGTCTATGATCTGGCAACTTTTTATCGCCGCCCAATAAACAGACAATAAACAAGCCGCCATTTTGTTACCCAGTCATAGGTGCATTGTTCCGTAATCAGCATGGAGCAAAAAAAAAAAAAGCTAACATTAAATTCTGCTTAAAATTCAGAAAAAGGCCCATTGCGACAGTTGAATTGATGTGACAAGTTTATGGGGATAATTGTTTATCTCGTGCACAGATTTTCCGCTGGTATTCACGATTCAAAAGTGGTGTGGAGATGATTACTAATGCAACTAGACCTGGACACCCAATTTATGTTCATAATGATGAACTCATTGTAAAATTCTGAGAACGGGTACAAGAAGATCGTTGTTCGACTGTGAGGATGATGGTAGATGAATTTGGTGTTAATACAGAGACCATTGGTAAAAATTTAGTGGAAGATTTGGGCAAGGAAAAAGTTGCTTGTCGGTTTGTATTCAACACCTGGCAATTTTTTTCCTTCTTCATGACAATGCACTAGCTCAAAGGTTGTACAGGAATGTTTGGCCCAAAAACAGATGGGTATTCTTAACCATCCACTCTATTCCCCAGATTTGTCCGCCTGTCACTATTTTCTATTCCCAAAATTACAGTTGCCATTGAAAGGACACTTCTTTGACAATACTGATGGCATCTAAAGGGCCGTAACATCGACTTGACAGGCGATATCAATAAAAGAACTACAGTGGTCATTCCAGTTGTTTGTTTGATCATGCCTTTCGTTGTATCAATGCACAAGAGGCTCACTTTGAATAAAATACATGTTATATCTTTAACTGTTGATTATTTTAATTTTTATGGAATTAGTCTCATTACTTAATTGTCGAACCTTGTACTATTTCAACATAATTACAAACATTCATGCAGACTACCTCTGAAATAGACTTACCTCACTTTTCTGGTTGCACAAGTTGAGAACAATGGCTGTAGTGAAAATCTCAGTCACACAAAAGAACATGTGGTGCATGAAAAATGTGTAGAACTCTTCATTGTAGTAGCTTTTCAAATACAAACAAGAAGCAAGCAGTATTATTTTTGTGTGGCTTCTTGACATAACAAGTATGAGAAAAAAATAACAACAAAACATCATGTGCCGTCTCCACAATGAAGATGCCTATAATGCACCAACTGCTGTTTTTGTGTGTGGGGGGGAACACATCTTCCTTCTCAACTTATGACCTATGCAACTTATCACTATCCGCACTTACGACCATACACACACAAATGGGGGAGGGGCTGTGTGGTCTCGAGGAATAGTGTCGAGTGCTAGAGGTTTCGGGTTCAATCCCTGGTAAGGGCTGAGATTTGTTTCATGTGGACTTGAACTTCTAGTGATTCCCCCTGGTATCCGGGCAGTGAGATCGAACACCCGTGTATATATATTGTTGTGCACGTAAAAAATCCCTTGGCAGTTGGAAATCAAAAAGAGTAGCCTAACAGCGTTGCCCAGGCAAAATTTTGAGTTTAAAAGCTACATAAAGTATTTCAGGATCCTCGCCGGTGCTACACAGCCTGTGCACTGTGCTGAGCTTCTTCGGACTCAGACTTGAGTTAGAAGAACGGAGCACTTATGGGACTCGTGTGCCATGATGCTGATTCATTGTTCAAACCTCAAACTTCAAACACACAAATAGTAAATAAAGAACAACAACTACACTAGAAGGAACAAAAAAGTTCCCAGAACTGATGCAACAGCGTATGTTATTTATTTTTCCCACTAGGCAAAAACAAATATACACACCCAAATATAATTTTTTGTTTTTTTACAATGTGTATAGCCCAAACAGTGTTGGAAAAATATAAATCTGACTTACAACCATTTTAACTTATGACATAAATGGAGGTGACTGCAGTCGAGCTGCTGACAAGAAATGCTAATTATAACACAAATGGGTTCTCCTTAAAACTACGGCCACTTATTATGGAGTACGCCGAAGTTCAGTCCCCTGGCCGCATTGCAATTACGGAGTGGAAAAGAGGGAGCGAAACAAATGACGTAATTATTGTGTGTTGGCGATAGACAGCGTGAACCGATGACATAATTACTGTGTGTTGGCGATAGATACACTGCTGTCATAATAGGGTTAGGGTTAGGGTATTGGTACTACTTAAAACTACGGTCACTCCTAACCTTACCACTAACCCTAACCCTACCCCTAACCCTATTATGACAGCAGTGCATCTATCACCAACACACAGTAATTACGTCATTTGTTTCGTTCCCTCTTTTCCACTCCGTAATTGCAATGTGGCCAGGGGACTGAACTACGGCGTACTCCATAATAAGTGGCCGTAGTTTTAAGGAGAACATACAAATGTAACTAGAAAGCTCACGGAAGGAATGGAAAGGACGCACACAGACACAACTGAACATTTTGACCAAATTCTTTATCACCAAAGTACTACATAACAGCACGAACTGTGAGTAGAAAAATCAACGGGCAAGACCACAGAACTAATTTTTTTTTTAAACATGAAACCAAAAAGTACGTAATGAGGGGGAAAGTATGAATATGAAAGCTATTTATCTATATACAGAATAGCCTTCATATTCGTACTTTTCCCTTTCATTATGTACTTCTTGGTTTCATGTTTACCATGGTTTTTTAACAGCCCTGTTGTTATTTAGTAGTATGTTCAGCTAGCCAACTTTACCCATGTTCTAAACGAGCTTTGGTAGAAGTTTTCACACATGCATTTGAAGTGGGCCAGACTGGACATTACATCTCTGGTGGCCAACAACTCCGAGATCCCCTGCCAATAGCGGCCGGCGGACCCAAAACATGTACAACTGCCCCCCCCCCCCACTCCGCAGCCTTAGCCTATGTCTCACGACTGTATGCAGCCTCTATTTTACGCTGCATACAGTCGTGTGACCTAAGATGCACCCCTGTGACACAGTAGAAGCCCTACACCACATCAAGGCTTCAATGGAAAGGGAGGTAACTCTCATCGTTGGGTCTCTTTTAAGGGGGAAAAGCCAGTACCTGATGAAAAAATAGAAATTGAAATCAGGTCAAAAAAGGAAAATTTACATTACTCACCTGAAAAAGCTCCACCAAGAGTAGTAGTGTGGGTACAAGTTGATGATGTAAAGGAGGAGCCACATTTTCCGGAAACTGGATGTTCGATAAACATTCACCAGATACTTGATGCTCTCATAAAACAGGATGAAGAAGACGACAGTTGTGACCCAGATCTTGAAAGTGTTGGCAGTGGCATTAAAATAGACATGTTTGTAGGTCACTAGTCCTGGCATTTCATAGCGACCTGTAACAGAATGGAATTTTATCAGTGAATTTGTTTGCTTTCTTCACTTCTTCATCAGATACCTGGCTTGAAACAATGACAAGATCATGGCTCTTCAATTTTTCCTATTAAATGACAATTGACTGAGGTTGGTAGAAAACATATGACCTCATACCATATGGTCTAGTACATGTCTCTTCTTCTTCTTTGTGTTTACCAGCTGTAAACTCTGCCGTAAAGTTCTGGTTTGTTCAACCACTCCTGGACTGTAGTCCTGTTCCAGAACTTGTTTGTGGCATGTGCATCCATTTTACAGAGCTGAATCATTTGAATATAGACAGTTGGTTCCTTGCCTCTCTGGCAGATGCACTTCATCTTCGAAGGAAGCTCTGAACTAGTCGACTCTAGCGACATGCTTTTGGGTAGGCAGTGGGTCTATTCTTGTTTCCCTATAATAGGGCCCCAGAACCCACATGGGGAGTATGGTACATAAATGTTATTACTGCAGGATCTCAACTCTGAGTCCCCTAGACACCACTAATCCGGCATATCCATCTGGTGCAACTCCCTGTGAAAACCATTAAAATGGCAATGGTGTTCTTGACAAGCCTAATTAACAAAACTGGTTCTCTTTGCATCTGCACAGTTTAGTAGGACCAGCTATGATTTTATTTACTTTAAGAAGACTTTGAAGATCTGTACACAAGCCCTCTGGTTGTACACACTGTCCAACCAGATTCAGCTATTTTTGTGTGTGAGACCATTGGTTGGTAGGTTGGGTTGACTGGTTAGTCAAAAGATTAGTTGATTGGTATGTTGTTAAACACTTTTTAGAATGCCCTAAATCAAGAGGAAACATGGTTACTTTTACAAAAAAGTACTAAATACAAACATTCCGTGACTAGAAATGTCAATAAGGGAGTTGAAAAGAAATGCACAAATCTGTGTGTGTGACTGTCCTTTCCATTCTTCCAAGGAGCTTTCTTGCTACAGTTTCTGTTGTATTTTGTACTCATTTATAAAAGCCTGGATGACAGTAGAATTTTAACACAAGACCTTTGGGCCAACATGCAAGCACTTTTTCATCAAGATAACTCAGTTCCCATAAAATAATTTTTTATTTGAATTCCGCATTGGCTGCTGAAGTTAGGGAGGGAGCATCTATGGGAATGTCCAGTGTTACAATCTTGGTTCTAAACTCTTCCAGTCCTTAGCAATGCCTGATGTGTGAATGACTTTACCCAATGATCTCCGTTCACATCATAATGTGTTCTCTTAATTGTTAACATTTAGTGGAACATACTTAAGAAACCTGGCTTTTCCAATAGTCATCAGTCCTGTGCATGCCACTTTGAAAGTCATGCACTCATGGTTTTCATCAGTTAATTTTTCACTTTGGCTTCTGTGAAATCTGAAAATTACCTCAATAAATGTGATGCTAATTATGACAAATATGATCTCTACAATACTGTCCAGGCTGTGTGCTATGGAGAGGAGGAAAAACTTCTACCATGTTATAAAGATGTATGCAAGCAGGACATGAATGTCGGAGGTATTGAGGTGGAATTGTGTGAACAAAATGCCAGGGACCGTGTAGTGTGGTTGGGGCACATCAGGAAGGGAATGGAAGAAGGAAATTAATGCAGAAAGGATGACAGCTGAGCATCTCTTCTTTTGTGTGTGTGTTTGGTTTTGTATGCTCAGACCATCTGGTGGGCTGCCCCTATGAACTCCCATGTCAGTAGCAGGTCCTTCATGGTTTCCCATAGCTCGAGCCAGATGTCCGCTCAAAGCCGCAGGCAGTGAGCAGGTCCGCAGAATGCGCTCAGGTGTCTGTGGTCCCTTCTGACAGGCATACTGTGGGGAATGTACAATTCTTATTTTACACATGTGGCAGTTGAGCCCGAAGAAACCTGCCCGCAGACGAAAAACCGTTGCACGTTGCCCTCTGCCGAGTCCACCAATGGGGTCCTGCGAATGTTTACTGCTAGCCTGCTCTCTATAGAATTCCTCGTATCCACCCTTGATAAGTGCTCTGATCTCTGGCAATGGCAATGAATTGGCATGCTGTCTCTTCCCCGTTTCATTGCCCAAGGTTTGGCTGGCGGGTCAGCCCTCTCTCCATGTTGTCTCGTGGATCTCTCTGAGTCGCCCGGAGGAAAAAACCTTGCTGCTTTTAACCTCTTTCCCCTCGAGCACCCTGGCCGAATCAACAATTTCTTGCTGCTCTGCTCCGAAGCTTGCAGAGAGTCTTCCGGACGCGCATGATGTTTCCACTGTGGTCCCATCCCGCAGCAAAATTACCAATCCAGCTCCTCTGTATTTTTCTGCTTCCTCCAATAATCCATCGGTGCACACGTGCGCCCACTCAGGGTCCAGACAACAGCTGCAGACACGCTCAAGGGTCCCCACATGCAGCACCAGGTCACACCCTCCAGCCCTTCTGTCTATGCCTGGAATTGCTGCTATGAATTTACAGTTAGGCTGCAGGTCCACACTGAATGCCTGGATCACCTCCCATGCTGAAGGATCCCCAGAAAGGATGTCACTGTTTTCCGCGCAGCTCAACTTTGACAGACGGTGAAAGCCCTGTCCCCTCACTCAGTTCCCAGCCAAGCCATTTGCCACTCTGTGCATGTTGCCTTGCTCATGCGTTTAATTTCCTCCTCAGGGCAAGCACCTACTCTTTCCTTAAGCCCTGGAGGCCAGAAGTTGCCTCCAGCTCATGAATTGGCCTGTTTCCCACACCTCTAGCAAAGACTCCAAGACCAGTACTTTGCCCAGTCCATGTAGGTCTGACCTGGCTGCAGTGGAGTATGCTCCCGTGCCACACCCCAGCCCTGGTCATAGTATCCTGTGTATACTTGTCGTACAGTGTTGGCATCTGCACCCAGCTTGTTCCAGTTAGTTTCTTCATGTCTGAGCCTCAGGGTAGCTTTCCCTTGAGTGTCCTCGATCTGGGGGCCCCAAGCTGAGCATCTGAGAAAATTCACACTTAACACAAATGCTGACAACTATGGTTCTAAAATCTGATGCTGTGACTGTGGAAGACTTTTCTTAACGCAGGTGGGTCTTGCTACTCACACTTGCCATTGCCATGGGCTGTGAGTCCCATGCTTTGTCACAGCACAAATAACACTGTCGTCTGGAAAGACGGAAAGGTGCCAATCAATGACAACAATTAGGGTCTCAACAAACTTCACAAAATAAGTCTCACCTCTGAAGACAGTATCGAAACAAGAACAGGTACAACCCTGCCTGTCTACTGGTGGCTTGTCAGGGACCCAGATTTTCAAGTAAAACACCCCTAAAAGGCAAAGAATCAAAACATTTTCAGCAACATATTTCAAGGCCATTTTCTGGTGATCTTCTTCTGCATTCGCCCTTAAAAGAGCAGGTGACCCGTTGTGTTGGGGTTTACAGCTAAGTTGCAACATCTTTTGGCCTGACATATTCGATTTTGACAAACTCCCAATTAGTCACCTTTTACAGTTAGGATATTTTTCTCCAGTTATGCTGGTGTGTTGGGAAACGAGCAGGCAGATAGACTGGCTTGTTTTGCACCACCTGCTGGTGAATTGATATGATAAGCTAGATGTTGTGAGGGCCCTTTGGGAGCGAGCGAACAGTGCGGAGGCATTAACAGATTATTACGGTCTGAGGAGAATGGCATTGCAGGAAATTCCCAGGGGATCTAGCCAACGCTCAACGCTCAAGGGAAGGGTGGGACGAATATACAATCAGACAGTTACTGTTACCACTGGACTTGAAACTCTTCGCTTGCTGCTAAAGCTGGGGACGGAGTGCTTATGGGAGTGTCCCAGGTGCTAAAATGATTATTCTTAATTCAACATATATGGTTAAACACCAACAAAATCAAAGCCACAATTTTGAAGGCATGCATTTTCCCTGTAGCAACATACGGATAGGAGTAGTGGAATATCAGTTCTAAAGGAAGAAAATGGGCACTTTTGAACTGAAATGCTATAGACAAATTCTCAGAATACCATGGACACGGGAGAAATACATCCTAAAAAATCTGAACATCAAGGAAGATTGGCTAGTGAACAGCATCTTGTCTCAGAAACTGAAATATTTTGGCAAATCAACCACTACAAAGGATTGGGAAAAATAATAGCAGAAGGCATGTTACCAGGAAGGAGGGGCAGTGGCCGACCAACACGAAGTTGGGCGCAGGTTATAAGTGACTCGAGTATGAAAGTACATGAGACTGGAGAGCTGGCAAGAGACTGAGTTTCTTTCAGGCGGACCGTGATGAGAGCGACATTCTGCAAAGGACCTGCTACATGATGATGATGACAGTCCTTCCAATCAGAGGTAAATTTTAGTCATAACTATTTTGTGTCTTATAACTGTTCTGAAATGATCAAACGCAGCTGTCTAGATTAGAGCTCACAGCTGGACAGACATGACAATGAATGAAATAAAGACTCTGATCTTCTTCTACTTCTTTACGTCCTCTTTTACCGCTCTGGGTGTTGAAGGAGATAAAATGCTCTTCTGGCTGCTTCGACCACAGACACATCGTGATGCTGTAGAGTTTTTCGGAGGTTATTTTCCCATCTTGTTCTAACTCTTGCTCTACATCCCCTTCTCTTTTGGTATATGCCGTGTATGGTATAGCATCAGAAGGTATTCTCTCCAAGTGAGCAAACCATTTAATTTGCTGTCTTTGTATGTAATTTAGAATTAGTTCAGTGTCTTCTGGTCAGTCCTACAGTACTTCTCAGACACCTCATTAACACCACTTTGATCAGAATGTTAATTCTTCAGGGAATTCTGCATCAGCCAGAACATAAACAGTAGGTTTGAAGAGGGATCAACTGATACTCAGTTCTGCAAAAAAAAAAAAAAAAGTAATGAATTCCAGAAAAGTAATCAACATCATCATTATCCCGTAACACTACGTGTGGTTGGGTCACCAGTTTCTGTTGACTGTCTGATCAACTCTCTCCACCTTTGGGGGTCAGCTGCAACGGACTTCATGGTTGCATGCCTGAAGCCTGTCCAGTCAGTCAGGTTCTGTAACCAGGTCTTTCTTGGTCTGCCTCTTCTCCTCTCTCCCTCTACTGAGCCCTGCAGTATTGTTTTTGAGAGGCCGTTAGATCTTCTTACATGTCCATACCATTGCATTTTTCGCTCTTTCACTGAAGTTAAAAGAGGTTCATAGTTGCCAATGTGCTGTATAATTGTATGGTGAACCTCTTCGTTTGTAAAGTGGTCTCTGTATGATATGACAAAAACATTTTCTGAAACATCAATTTGTAATACTTAGAAAAGTAATACATTAAAATATTTTATTTTTTATTGACATTTCTGGACAATACTTTCTGACTTCTGTAATCTGCAACAACAACAAAATTAATAAATTACCCACTACATGAGCCAACAGGGCACTAGCAAATTACCTAAGGGGTTTACAGAATGCAAACTAAGAAACTGTTTAGAAACCTACCAATGTGCAAGTATGGCATGATGACAAGTAAAAAGGCAGCTATCAAGATGGCAATAAACTTGTCACAGAATTTGTAGTCTTTGGCCGAGTAGTGAACCTCTGTGAGTCTCCTCTCAACATAGCCATCCATGCTTGGTGCTCTGATAGCTGACGCAGATGATCTATATTTCTTGTTGTCTCTGCAATTTGGAGGAATACAGAGAAAAGTAATTCTTAGTGCTAAAGCCATTTGAAGGCATAAACATAAAAAAATTTTTTGTCTCAGGCAGGACACACAGTAGGAAAAATATTCTTCTTCAGTTAGTTCGACGTTAGTCTCCCCAAATAGAGTCGGTCACTTTTCAATCGATTCCCAGCATTTCCGATCAGGGGCACTGTTTGGAGCCGAGGCAATTTTTTTGCTTCTGCCGGACGGTGGCCGATGCCTTTTTGCTCCATTTGTAGACTGAATATAGTTTCATCGCCCAGCTTCTGAGTTGAATGCATGGCGTGACTCTGTGAGCTGCGAATTTCATTTGGAATGTTTTTTCAACTGTAATTACAGTAGTGGTGTGAATTGTAGATTCAGAAATTGGCGCGATGTCTGATGCTGTTGTCGCAATGTTGGTGGTGCCCGTATGTGATTAAAATTGATCGCGTGGGCAACTGCTGATCTTTTGGTGACTTCTGCTACCAATAATGATGAACTGCATTTCTAATGTTGGACTGTTTGTGTTAGCACTTCGGATGGCTACCGTATGCTTTAATGCTAGATTTGCTGAGACAGCAGTCTGTCAACCTCTCCCCAAGGGACTGTGATAAACATTCTGTGTGTTTTTCGTTGGCAGAGGAGCGGAGCAAAGATGGGGTGACCCGTTTGCTATGAAGCTGAAACTAAGACTACCAGACCAGACCAGACTTTTCATTCACAAGTTTGTTGGGCTGGTCGACTTTCCTGAAGGTTACAAGTGTGTCCTGCTCTGTTGTTTGGTTTCTGTGATGTCTTGCATTTACGTTTTCATTCCGAGAAAGAAAATGCCTGTGACATAGGTTGCAGCACTCTCTAGAGAGGTTGTGTTAGAGTGTCTTAGGAGTGTTAAAAGTGCCAGCATGCTGAAATATACAACACGCAATATCAACAGCATTGCAGAACACCCCTTGAACCTTGTGCGAAGGCCACAGGGCTTAGGAACTACCAATCAGAAGAGAGCTAGTGTGCATATGGGCGGGGTCTGGAGAGACTAACTTCGAACTAACCTCTTCTACAGCAGTGGTTTTCAAACTGGGGGGGGGGGGGCGGGGTTCGCACAAAGAAGTTCTGGGGGTGAGAGGTCCCCAAGCAATTATGAAAATGAGTGCATCTGTAATAATCTGTTATACCAACATGTTTTTTCTCTTCAGTTTAATTATAAATGTAGATTTAACAGTCGCAAAATAAAACATCGCTGCCAGTTAGATGTGTAGTGAGATCTCCGCTGTGCCTTGTCAATAACATCAGACCAAAAATAGCAAAAAACATCAGACCAAAATCAGCAAATATCATCAGACCAAAAATAGCAAATAACATCAGACCAAAAATAGCAAATAACATCAGACCAAAAATAACAAATAACATCAGACCAAAAATAGCAAAAAACATCAGACCAAAAATAGCAAATAACATCAGACCAAAAAAAGCAAATAACATCAGACCAAAAATAGCAAATAACATCAGACCAAAAATAGCAAATAACATCAGACCAAAAATAGCAAATAACATCAGACCAAAAATAGCAAATAACATCAGACCAAAAATAGCAAACATCAGACCAAAAATAGCAAATAACATCAGACCAAAAATAGCAAAAAACATCAGACCAAAAATAGCAAATAACATCAGACCAAAAATAGCAAATAACATCAGACCAAAAATAGCAAATAACATCAGACCAAAAATAGCAAATAACATCAGACCAAAAACAGCAAATAACATCAAGACAAAACAGCATCAAGCATCACATTAACATTTGGACACTAAAATTACCAGTTGCTGGTCACTGTTTCTTTTACATTTACTTGACACTTTGATTAATGTGGATTTTTTCGCCAAGTTTTATTTCAAAGAGGTTGGGATTATTCTGGGGTCCTCTTTTCAATCACATTTTCTTTAAAGTTGATTGGGGTGAAAGGGGCTTGAAGGGATCTTGCCATATATTCAAGGCAGCACCACCTGAAAAAAGTTTGAAGAGCACTGTTCTAAAGTAATTAACATCTGCTCTTCTTCTATTCCAGTAATCATCACAAACAGAACAGTAAACTTGAATTCTTCGCTGGTGCTTTATAATTTGTCTCGCAAGGTCATTCTTGAGGACCAGATTTCTTTGTGATGGTAAGGTCTGGGCAATCCTGTGATTAGTGATTAATGATTAGAAAGGATTATCATCACAGCTCTCCGGACGGATCCATAGGGGCTCTGATCTCCTCCTCAAAAGCTCCGCAAGTGTAAAACAACTGATGACACCTGTTCAGTGTTGGTTAGTTGATGAAACGTCTTGTCCCGTTAGTGAAATGTTCATTTCTTGCAGCTCCAGGCTGCACCCACATGACCATCAGCCTAGACAAGGATACGGAGTGATGTCCTTTGGCGTGATCCTCGGTACAGTAAGTGCAGCGCATGGCATGGATAACATCACTTCTGTCCAGTACTGGGCCAGCCATAGCAACAGCAGTGTCAGCAAGATGGTCTGCACGCTTTTTCCCTTGAACACCCGCTTCCCTTTTCCAATATGGCAGCATGTTGTTGTGTTTGTGCTCATAAACCATGACTTCGCTTTTTATCCAGTGTATTTCACTTGGACTTTTTTAAAATATCAACTCAAAGGCAGCACAGAAATGTGTTACACTGCAAGATATTTGTTCGAGGCATGTGTGGTGATTATGTGTTGCAGTTTTAATGTGTGTTCGATGTGTGTGCTGCCAATCATGGCAGCCTTAGCAACAACATTGACAACCTATGCGACCAGCCACATGTGAAAATGTTGGTCCAGGATTCTCGCTTATGCGACGAGTATGTGCGTTTGAGCTGAGATCTCCTTCATTTGCTACACAAGCATATAACAGTGATGGGCAATCCTGTAAAACATGATTTAGAGTTTGCTTTGAGGCACTATACCCACTGTGGCAGAGTCAGTGAGAGAAAACTTGATAATAACTAAGATGTCCTTGCATTGGAACCCAGACAAACAAACAAAATCAAGAGACCAAAAACAACATTGATAAGGGAATTCAAGACAGGTGAAAAAAGATGGGGAGGACATGGGGAGTAAATGAAGGTAACAGATAGAACGATTCGATGCAAATTGACTGGGGGCCTATGCTCCATTGAGACATTAAGGATAGAAGAAGGTGTTTATGGTTGTACGAAGAAACACTAAGGAAAATGATATTTAATCCTAGTCACCAGAAGAAATATAAAAAAAAATGATCAGTCTTACAATCATTTAAAGGATGATGAAGCCAAACTTTCTTGGTTCTCTTATGGCATACACAGTTAATGTATTACTACTCTATACTGTCTTTTTTCATTATGGTAACACATGAGTAATTATTTGTGCAAACGCATTACTGAATTTCTAAGACTCACCCTCTATCATCAAAGTCAGGTAGCAATGCTTTCATCAACTTTGTATACAAAGCATCCATTTGCTGTAAGATGAATAAAATGAATTATAGAATCTGAATCAAGTTAGGGAGTTTAAATATCTTCTAAGTATGATCACAGAAGATGGCAGAATTGACAGAGAAGTAGAAACCAGATGTCAGAAAGCAAGTGCACTGTTATACCAATTGTCACCATTATTAAGACATCCAAGCATAACTAGAGTGCAAAGAGACAGATTATTAATAGCATATTCATTCCAGCATTAAGCTACCAGTGCCAAACATGGACACTATCTAAAGCTCATATGCACAAAATTACCACCTGCGAGATGAGGTGCCTGAGAAAAGCAGCTAACCTAACCATCCGAGATCGAGTGAATAATGAAACTATCAGGCAAATTGTGGGAACGACACCTTGTACTAGATTCATCGAGAAACAGCAGATCAAGTGGTTTGGCCATCTTGTTAGAATGCAGCAAGATTAAATACCATCACAAGCACTACATCTCAGAAGATCAGCTACAAGAGCAAGAGGACGGCCGCAAAAATATGGATCGACAACATTAAAGACACTCTACTCCTTCACGGCATGACACCCAGTGGCAGCCAACGTGCACTGGATCGCAAATTATTCCTCCCCCACGATGCTTAACAGCAAAAGTGGTTTATGATGATGATAGAATAAATTAAACCTGGTTCAGATAAATGAAACCTATTAAAAGATAAGTGTTCTGCAACCTGATTTGTCTTCATCTTTGTGTGAATTTATAAAAAGAAAGGCCCATAAAGGAAATGCCAGGGACTATAGTTGGTGGTCTAATTAATACGAATAATCTTTGTTTTGCTGCTTCCAGAGGCAGAGGCTGACCTCTGTGAGTGTGGATACAAGACATTGAAGATGCACTGGCTATGAAAGCACAATGACCTGAAGAACTGGCCAGGGGCAGACAAACTTTCAGGAGTGCCATGAAGTCAGTTATATGGTCTTGGGATGAGTACACAGGTTTCAGTCTCTAGACACATTGATAACATCAGATGGAAGATGTATCTCAGATATAAATAGCAGAACAGAACAGGCAAAAACTGCATTTTACAAAATTAAATTGGTAAACAAGCCCTGGGCAGAGGAAGCTCAAAAGCCCTGAAAGGTAATTCATCTACGTGAAGGACACACCGAATGCCAAACCACCACTGCCTTGTGGGAAGTTCTTTAAGAACAAAGGCTATGGCAAAAAATCCCGACAGAAAATGTGGGTAGGCAGAGCTCATAAGCCCTGGAAGGCAATCAGCCTATGGGAGGGGGAATCCTGAAAATAAACCTCAACCGTCGAAGTCGGAAGATGTCCGCCTACTTGGCATGGGTCTAAAAATTGGGCATCTAAGCACTAGCGATATGGTCATGGTAAACAAGCCACATACAAAAATTGTGAAACCTGATAGATGTGGTTTGATAGAAGAAGACAAAATGTCAATAGAAGTATTCTTCAAGCTGCAAAAGAAGCAATTTCCAGAGGGTATCGACGCATCTATAGATTTTACTGGTCCAGCACACTCCAGGAATATCAGGAAACAATGAACCAAACTACAAAGGATGCAGAATCCAAACCTTCACCTAACAACCTTATCAAATGGAAAAAGGCTCTAGCAGTTTTCCAGAGAACTAAACAAGAAGCCTGGAGAAATAAAACAGCAGCTCTAAACCTTGAGAAAGATGGCAAACAACTGGAGATCAGCTAAACCACTCAATAAAGGGTTTCTCCTAGACAATCGCACTGAGTGAAAGTGACAAAATCATGATAGGATAACAAGCTGCGTATTTGTTTGCCAGAACATATAGCGTTGAAAGCAACTTAACCCTTAATGAGGATCAACAGAGAGAAATAAGGAAAGAAATGGGTAGAAATCATTCAAAAATCGCACTTAACCTCCCTCGCGTAAAAGGAAATGAGCGAGTGGACCAACTGGCAAGCACTGTACTAAGGTTTGCAGGAAAAAGCATGGACAGAGCAGACATCGTCAATGCTGTACAGACTGAGCTAGTAGATAATGAGGAATCCCTGACACTAACATGATTGCGTGACATGGAAGTAAAGCATGGTGAAGCATGTCAATGCAGTCTTCAAGGCTGAGATAGGACAAAATATAACCAGCCTCTCATGGGAACTATTAGTAGAAGTACCTCGGAGTGGCTGCTGCATCAGAGAACTGAGATCGCATGGGAATGCCAAATGTGCAGTGACGTCGATTGAGATAACATAACATAACATAACAAGGAAAGAAATACAAACAATCAAGAGACAGACAAATACTCCTCCTTTTATGAAAAAGCCCTTTACCATGGGTGAACTTGAAAATACCATTTCCAGGCTTTAGTTAAAGCCGTTTGCAGGTCCATATAAAATGCTGATCAATCAGTGCTCACCTGTTAAAGTTAGGCTGTTGGACATTTCTGTTGTCAACTGGGAGAAATGTGTGGTGCCCTCAGTATGAAGAGAAGCCATCACAATACCCACACCACACAAAAAAGGAGAAATTAAGACCCAGGCTTTAAGCTATCGACCAATCAATCAAAACATTAAAGAGAATTATCAATTACAGACTGAAATGGCACTTATAATGTGAGCAGATCTTGGTGTCAGAGCAATCTGGATATCATATAATAGTTAGACATTTGCAGGTATTTGGGTGACTGGTTAGTTCGTTTAATAATAAACTGTGTATTTTAATTAAATTGTTATTTAAATAGTATAAATACAAATGAAATAACTGGTTACCGCAGTTATTTCAGGACTTCCCTATAAAATACTGGATAGTAAAAGAGTGTGCTCAAGAAAACGTGATGTCTGTGAACTGTGAAGATGTAAGGAACACAACAAACACTTGAACTACCTTCAGGTTGTCTCTGCATGACACACCTGGCCTTTCAGGCTTGACCTTGGCGGTGTTGACGGAACAGAAGACCCGGGAAGATTTAGCAACGTCGTTTGAAAGGTGGTGGTTTGTTGGGTTGATTGCATTTCTGGGTGGTTTGATTTGTTGGATAGTTAATTTCTTCGTGTTCACCGGCTGTAATCTCTGGCGGAAAGTTTTGGGTGTTCGTCCACCTCAGGAGTATAGTCTTGTTCCAGAACCTGAGTGTTGTGTGCACATCCGTTTCACAGATCTGGCTTTTTTGTATGCAGACTTTTGTTTACTTGCCTCTCAGACAGATGTACCCCTTAGGTGACTTATACTACGTACTTGTTAGGGAGTCAATAAGTCTATTCTTAGGTCTAAACACACACACACACACACACACACACACACACACAATGGGTCGCGAAACCCGCACTGGGAGGTGGTTAACTGGCTGGTTTCGTAATGTGTTGGTTATTCTTGTCCTCCTCTTGTGTGATGCAATTTGTAATTGTTTTGAAGCCCCCACCCTGGCTTTTGCTGGGTGCCCTGAATAAAGCCGGGCCTGAAATATAGCCTAACGGCTTAACGGGGTTTCCGGGACCTCTTCACGTATGATCCTCGTCAACATGGTGGCACTTTGTGTCACCGGGTATTTATCGCTTGTGTGATGTCCTGGTGGGGTACAACTTACATACATTTGTTGGTTATTTTTTGGTTAACTGGTAGAGTGGTTGGTTAACAAAGGTCAGAACTTGGGTAGCGGGATTGGAATCGAGTCCTGACTTGAGTCGCATAATAAACGACTTGCGACTTGACTTTGGGCTTTGTCCAGTGACTCCACTTGCGAGTTGACTTTGGGCTTTATCCAGTGACTTCGCTTGCGATTTGACTTTGGGCTTTGTCCAGTGACTCACTTGCGACTTGACTTTGGGCTTTGTCCAGCGAACCCACTAGCGACTTGTAGTTTTAAAGGCCACAGTGAGGTTTGGTCATCAACGTCACAATTTAAAACGACTTCATATTTTTTTTTAAATGACCAAATAATTTTTTTTTCAATTTATTAAGCTTTGACAACTTGAGACTTGACTTGTGATCTTAGGATTTAGTGGCATTGACTTGGGACATGATTTGACCTAGTCCAACTTCTGTTGGCCGGCTGGCTAGATCCTTTGATGGATCTGATTTCCTTTCTAAGTTCGACATACTGCTTCAATGAAGAGTTGGTTATAGTGCGTCCTCTCTTTGCCTCGAAGACAACACATTTGTGTTTCGTCAGGCTCTATTCCCAGGTTACGCAATCATGTTAATCTTGTTAACGTCAGAAATTAAACATTTCCCCTAGCCTTGTCCGTATAACGTTGATCATATCAGCTCTGTCCTCTGAAAGTGCTGGAGAGTTTTGGGAAATGCCATTCTGGTCTGAAGACTCAGTGAGGAGAAAACCCTAACTGCACCTCCACGCGGTAGAGGACGGTAAACACACTGCGGTGTGGCCAACGCAGCTATGGGGACCGAGTATCCGTCGGGATAGGTGGACACCTCTGTCGAGCTCCCTGCTGTTAGCAGGAGCATCACAGAGCAGGGCACTCACTTGCCCTAGCAATTGAAAAGGTTGCCGAAGATTGAGGACGTAGTCTAAAGCCATGTGGATGTGGAAAGCAAGGGGAAACTACCACATTACTATCCCAAGAAACTCATCATGAAAGCCAAAAATGAAACTCAACCATGCATCTTAACTGTGGCTGCATACGGATGTGAGTCGTGGACTATCTCTAAGTCCTTAAGAAAGAGAATAGGGTCCTTTGAGCTGAAATGCTATAGAAAGATTCTCAGAATATCTTGGACAAAGAAGAGGTGAAATACTGACATTTTGAAAGATCTGAACATCGAGGAAAATTGGCTAATAAACAGTATCCTGTCTCGGTAGCTGAAATATTTTGTTCATATCAAGCTCCACTAAATTTCAAATGGTCAGATTTCCGAACCAATACACAAATAAGGCAAGAATCCAGGCAAGAGTATGTGTCTAATTTTATACGAAAACGCCGCTGGAACTATGTCGGCCACGCCCTTAGAATGGATAAATCAAGACTTCCTTACCAAACCCTCATTTGGACACCACAGGGGAAAAGATCTTGTGGAAG